CTTGAATTAATTGATAAGGTTTTGTATTTTCCATTGATTTAGTTTGAAAACTTGTCTAGATTGGTGGTTTCACTAACTAGTCTTGGTGTTTGAAGTTTGATTGATCCTTTCCTCATCCACCCACAAACTTAAGACATGTTTTCCGACTTCTATGCAGCTCAAAGGTGCTGAGAATTTTTTTTTTTGAATTATGGAAATCCTTTTCCATTTTTGATGTATTTCTGAAGTGAAAGTAACCAACTGATGTTGCACTCTTTGCTGCAATTTATTTGATGGCTAATGAACTTGTATGAGGACTATAATTTGGCAATTAATTATCACATTGCTTCTATTTTCTCACACCAATTCAAGTCAATCTTCTTGACTTCTCATAATTGGTTGATGAGAACTCTTTGACCCATACCTCCTAAGTGATATTCTTTTGTTAATTTTGCTTTGAGCTTTGAATTTTTGCCTTGAGTTTGAGGTCATCAAATGACCAATGATAACATGTTGAGGAATGATACATCAAGAATGGTCTCATAAATACTTTATATTACTTGACTTCCAATGATTGAACCATTTCATCCTATTGTAAATTTCATGATTCAATCCTTTCTTTTATTTTTGAAACTTTGAGGTACATTGAATGCACTTATGCAACATGCTTTAGAATCAACATTCTAAATTCTTGATAATATCCTCATAGCATGTTAGAAGCTTGATTTCAAGTCTTTGAATGGTTTAAGTCTTCTAACTTTGTCTTTGTTTGAATTCCTTTCATTACTAACTTGTGATCCAAGATTTGTGATACATTTTTTGGCATCCCTCTTATATTATGCTTCAGAACCATAATGGAATAGATGAGTATTGATGTGTAGTGTTTGCTAATGATTTCTAAGGTCTTTTTTTTGCATTCTTATCTTGCTCCTTTGATCCTTGATTGATATTTACTTGTCAATTCAACATAGTGATAGGAAAGGTGAAATAATTCTTTAGTTTTGACCTATTTGTTGTTTGAGTTTGCTTGAAGGCTCTTGCATTCACTGTTTTGATGTTTACCATCATGTTTTTCCATTATCATGTTATATCATCATCCATACCTTATTGATTCATCATTTCTCCTTGTAATCACTAATTTGTCTAATGAATGTGCGAGGTACTCTGAGAAAAGTTTTCCATTTTGACTTGATGTTGTCGTGTTCCACTTTATTTGGGGAACACAATTGCTTATGCTTGCACCACTTTTGTGCTTTGTATACTTGTTATTCTCTTGCGGGATATATATATATATATATATATATATATATATATATATATATATATATATATATATATATATATATATATATATATATATATATATATATATATATATATATGTTTGTAACTGCTATACATCACCTGTGGGACACATTCATATTTGAAGCCTCAATGCTTATATTTGATGGTGTGATTTCTAACTCGATTTGTTTGCTGATGCTAGCTTGCTTAAAGTTCTCTAGGTTTCTTTTTCTTTCTCATTTGCTACAGATAGTTATCCGTTTGGTATTGCACTATTTCCTTTTTACTGTTTATTCCTTTTATTGCTTTCTATTGCATGATGGGACCTCTATTGCTGATATATGTCAAGAGTCCTTCTGGTTTATTTAAAGACCTGTTTAAGGCAATTTTGTCGGTGCGCTAATTGTGATTGTTTAAAATCCTACCTTTGGAGTAGGTATTATGCACGTGTGTTTATATTTGTGCATGCACTATTACAGGTGAAAAGTCCTCAAAATGAGGCGAGTAGAAAAGGTTCATAATCGACTCTTGCATGTTCCAGTCCATGTCGTTCCTATGCTCACTTTCTACAAGTAAATGCTCAGAACATGTGCCCAAAATCTAAAATAATTTAAGTCCTTTAAAGGTAAGTGAAAAGGATTCCATCAATCGGATCCCCGCGCTTTCTTTAGCTCGTGTTGACCAACATTGATGCTTAGTGTACGCATGCACTATGTCTTTCCCCCCAGATCTTCCTTGCCCTGGTAATTGATATCACGGTTAAGGACCCTTTTATATTCCTATAATACTATAGCTTATTGAATCGGGTGATACGCTCCCCTTGGCTATGGCTTGACCCTTGGTCTGATGCTTGGTTTCTTGTCTATGGCGGGATGTCCCTTTCTACTACTCGGCCTGCGCCTTGTAGGTGTTTGATATTCAAGTGATGCTTGAGTTTTTGTTTGTCTAGATGCTTTTCCATCTGTTTGCTTGTTTTTGTCATAGGATCAGTGACATTTTTGTTGCTTCCCTTAGGATCGCTCGATTAGATTAGCTTTCGAGCTAGAAATTAGGATAGATATCCATGCATGTCAACATAGGTTAGAGACTTCCCTTTTCATCCTCAACCTTAGGGTCAATCATTGTATGATAACCTTAGGGGTAGTTCTAGGCTAGTCTCCCTTAGTTATTTTTCCTTTCTTTGCATATTGCATCTTAAAACTAAAACTTCTTCTTGGAAAATCATAAAATATATCTAATAAACTTAAATCCTTCTTCAAGGTAAAAAAATACAAACCAATCTTAATTGTTTGTGCGCCTCTTGGATTTGTTTTAAATCTTGTCAAATTGATGTTTTTTCCATCCTTGCCATGATATCTTGCTATCTTTTTGCCGATGTTCCGCCATCTCGCATGTTTGTTATCCTACCTTGATTTCTCAATATCATTGTTAGGTGTGATGTTTTATCATCTAGAATGTTGATGTCTCGCAATCTTTGCCATGCTATCTTGATATCTTTTTGCCGATGTTTCACCATTGCATATGTTGTTGGTGTTTCGCCATCGCAGATGTTTGTTATCCTACTTTAATTTTTGATATCATTGTTAGGTGTAATTTTTTATCGTCTTGTCTGATATTCTGCTATCATGTTAACATTTTATCATCTTATCTGAGTTTGTGTTACCATGTGATCCTTTTTTGTTGCTTTATCATCGTCGTTGATGTTTTGTCATTTTATCTGATGTTATGCCATCTTGATTGTTGCTTTTGTATTCTTAACTAAAAAACACAAACCAACCAAAATATATGAGCCGAACTACGGCTGCTCTGATTCCTTAAAAGGGATACGTAGGCATTAGGGTAGGGCCCGATGAAACAACCGGCTGAAAATCATCAAATAATGAAGTCGCCATCGAACGTCTTTTATCCCACATGTTGGGAAAGGTAAACATGAGAAGAGAGAAGTCATGGTCTTGCGACCGAGAGATCGGATAGGGGAGTCTGTTACGCGAGGGGAAGGTATTAGCACCCCACACGCCCGTAGTACTCTGCGGTATCCACTCTTGTTGTCTATCTTATGGGTGTGTTTAATCTATGCTTACTGTTTATTGTACTACTGATAAAGGGAGGACGCATGCAAAATAAATGAGAAAAGCATGTAGGGAAAATAAAATTGTACTCGCTTGGGCCCTACCCCAATGCCTACGTATCCTTTTTGAGGAATCAAAGCTACTGTAGTTCGGCTCACATGTTTCGTTTGTTTGTGTTTTTTATGGACAATATTAATTCCGCCTTCTGTCGCAGCTCGACCTTTGGAGACTCACGCATTGGCACAGAAGTAAATTAATCACGTCGTTACCTGAAAAGGGTTTTTAGAGAAAAGGTGCTCGAGCGCACAAAATGGTTTGAATTGGTTTGTGTTTTATTACCTTGAAAAAGGGTTTAAGTGAGATTAGCATGTTTTTGATTTGCTAAGCAAATGAGTTAGTTTTAAATACAAGGATGCAAAAAGGGAAGAAAAGAGTCTAAGGGAGACTAGTCTATCTCTAACCTAATATTATCATACAATGGTAGCCCTAAGTCAAGGATGAACGAAATGGAAACGTCTACCTAATGTTAGCATGCAAGGTTTGCAACCTAAGGTCTAACTTGCATCCGAACGGAGCAAGCGCATCCTAAGGGAACATGGTATGTACAAGGATAAAGCAAGCAAGCCAGTAAACTCAAGAGAGCACACCTGAAGAGATCCTATCTAGGTTAGCATGCTAAAGAAATTCTAACAAAACTATCCTATAGGGAACATGCAATGAGAGCGAAGTCGTGATCTCAATTTTTAAATTGAGTGACTCATCGATCAACAAGAAATAAAGGAAAGTGATAAAAGCCTATAGGGGGCATGCAATGAGGGTGAAGTCGTGATCTCAATTTCTAAATCGAGTGACTCATCGATCAAAAACAAGAAACAAACCCAAGCACAACACATATGGAAAATGAAGTGTAGAATGCTTGCTACAGGACTTTAAACAACGACTTCGAGCGCACACTCTTTATTTCCTACTTATCATGATATCTAGAAATCAATAAAGTGCGGAAATGAGGAATAAGAGTGAAGTTGCAATGATACCGAACGGAGAAGGTCCGTTGCCTCTTCATAATCACACAAGAAATGGGAGAACCCTACAGAAGTTGTTCCGCATGAGTGATCAAAGAATTAACCTCCAAGCATTCCCCATTGCGAAAGTTACATCAATATAATATCACAAAATCTTAGCTTCTATACAGAGGGGTGTACGATGGGGAATTTGAGGCATAGAGCAACAAGCCAGCATTAAGCCCATCAATAAAATCAACCCTTTTTGTTCAAATTCTTTAAGCTTCCAAAAAACATTTGCGATGGGCCTTAGTTGGATCCAACAGAACGTCACCAATTTCCAGCATATCCTCACATTCTTCTATTTATTATTATCCAAAGAAAATCCAAAATAATAATATAAAATTTAGGAATGAAAAGAGGAGTTGGGGTTTCGAATCACGTGGCTGTTCAGCTTCTCAGAAAATTCGTTTGTCTTCCTCTTAGAAACGCAATGGTGCGACACTCTCTTCCTCCCTTAATAGTGTGGCGATCATCTTCTTCTCTCTGAATTCAACCTTTCCATGAACCTTCACCATCTCAATGTCTCTGTCCAACCTTCAACTTCCTATAAACTCTTCTCGAATTCAATTTTTGTATTTTCTTCTACTTTGAATCGATTCAGAAGATGGAACCAACCGGAGAAAGTCTAGAGTCTGATTTGCATCGTCGAGGTGAAGAAAATTATGAACTTAAATCCAGGTATCCCTTTAATATCATGTTTCTTTGATTTCATTCTTCGTCTCTTCTCCTTTTTCTTTTCGTGTCGTTGTGATTTTGTGTGATTTGAAGTTTGTTGTGTGATATGATGACAATTGACGGTTGAATCATGATGATATTGTTGATGTCGAGAAATCGTAGTTCTAACATTGTGACCTTGATGCGAATTGCAGATAATTCGATTTCAGGATGAAGATGTTGATGAGAGGTGTCAAAGAACCGATGAGGATGATGTTGATAAAACGGTTGAAGATGGAGATTCAGTTCAGAGAATCTGCAGATTTGGATAATCACGGTGAAGGTTAAAGGCTCAGTGGATCCGTGAAGATGATGAAGGATCTCCAGATGAATTTTCAGAAGATAATCTTGAAGTGAGTTTTTCATCTGTGAACGGTTATGTAATTTATTGTTTCTCTGTGTTGATTATGATGTTGTTGCTCTTCTTTACAGATAAAGATGAAGATTGAAGATGGTTTTCAGAGGAAGATTGAGGTGAGTTTTTGGAGATTTGATGAAGATTCTTGCAGAATGATGCAGAAGGTTGAAGAAAGTGAAGAACCTGAGTGAGTGATGGCTGAAGATGGAGATTGCAGAGAGAGTCTTGTGGTGATTTTTGTGATTCTTCTTAGAATATGGAGAATGGATACCGGGAGAAGAAGAAGAGAGAATTTCAGATAATTTCAGCAGTGAGTTTTTCTTTAACTTTTTCTTTGATAATTGTTTGCTCTGAATAATAATTATGATTCCTCTCACCTTTCTGTTATTCTATTTTGTTATAGTTTGTCATATGAAGTCAGTTACAGGACTTCTGAATGTTAGTTACCTATTGGTTTGTTAGGACAGTTAGGATATGGTTACAGGGTTGTGGACAATTATAAATTTTTTGTTACGGTAATTAGGAGGTTTGGAATTAGTTGGAAAAACTGTTAGAAAAAACGGTTATGTGGTTTTAGCTATTTGTTGGAATGCATGGCACTTAGGAAGTTATTTGACAGTTAGTTATGGTTGTTAGAGGGTTTGGAGAGATCAATTCTATTGGATCTGTTTTTTCTGCTGGATCAGTTACAGTAGCTAGGGGAATTCAGTTAGGAAATTGTTAGGAATTAGTAAAATTTGGAATTCTGTCTTAAGAAAATAGTTAGGTAATTAGTGGTTTATTTGGGAAATTCTGCTAGATGTTTTGTTTAATTCTTTGATTTTTCTGAAATATGCATGGCTGATTATATTTATGAACAGTTTTTGGATGGATTTACTATCTTGTATTTCCCTTGATTTCCTTACTTGAATTTAATGCAGTGCCAGTTTTGAATCAATTTGGATTGTTTTTGCAGGGATGTCTTGAATGGTTTTGTGTGCGGGGTAGAAGGGAGAAAAATGAAGATGAAACAAAAAATTTTATGTAATTGCGAATGTAATTGGATGGAATTTAGATGATATATGTATTTGAAATTTGGCCTTGTGATCTGAACTTGAATGAGCTCTGTTGACCTTTGTAATGCCTTGGATACTTGAATGAATTTGTAGTGAACATGGACTTGAATGAAGTTGAATAGCCTTTATAATGAAATGATTAAGTGTTGAACATGATGAATAAGATGAAGATGATTATGATGAATGAGCGCCTTGCGCTTGTACTTTGTCCCTTAAATCTCAAGAATCCCAAATACATTCCCTTTCCAACCTTGCGAATTCCCAAAACTTTGATGAATTAAACCAAATTCGAATTCATTGAATCATTTAAATTCAATTCAACCTTAATCCAAATTAGCTCGCCTAACAAGCAACCAACAGTTTGAGAGAATGATGCCTTGATTATGATCCACATCTCGAACTTGAATGAATATATCACATTAATCTTCCATTCTCAATGAAGCCCTATATTCCATCCAATTTTCCAATCCTAAGCAAACTTTCATGACAAGCAACAAGTATGCGACAAAATAATGATTCCTTTATTAAAATGAATCTGCAAACTCATCTCTTGCACCACGGCTTGCATTTCGCAATCCAATTCCACTATATCTCGACTTGATGAGTAACAAGATAGCCAATGCCTTGAATCTTTTGATAAAGGTAGGACTTGGAGCATAGTAGGATACCTTGACATGAAACTCAATGAACCTCAGTTATTTATCATCAACAAGCTCAAATATGATGAGTAACAAACCCTAGTTCGCTTGCTTTTGATAAAATTTGATAATCAAGGTAGTTTGAGGTGATGGAGGGAACCAAAACCTTAGCTTACAGTTGAACTCTTGATGAAACATAACAAGTTAAAACCCTATCATCCTTCCCATAACAATTTAAAACCCTAGCATCATTCTCTGCTTATTGAAGGAACAACTTGAATCTTTTAGAAGAAGATAAGAACCTCAAAGCCTTAAACAAACCCTAATTCTTCGAAATCCTTGATCACATGCCATGTTTTATTGATTAATGAAGGAATGGTGGGTTAGATTAACTAATAGGAGTTATGTACATGAGAAAAATGCAAAATGCATAAGCCAGATAAAAGTAAAGGGGTAAGACAAATTTGGGGTATTACAGCTTCCCCTATTTAATCTTCTTAAACCTGAAAGCACAATTGGCACGTGCCTTTCTGAAGTTCAAGGTTGAAGATGATTAAATATCAATGCCAAAAATTTGTCCTGGGAGAGAGAGTGTAAGTGTTTTTTTTATTTGTTTATTTTGTGATATCTGCTGGAGAAAGAATTTTTTTTTTCAAGTGAAGATACGGAGATTGGATGGTGACACGACGAGTGTTTAGAACCTGACACGATGAATGTTCAGAAGATGACATGACAAGTGTTTAGAAAGGTGACACGGTGAGTGTTTAGAAGTTGACATGATGAGTGTTGGAAGGTAGCATGATGTAAACACAAGGACATAGAATACTTGTAACGTGGTGTGTTGCCAATACAAGGAAGAGATCAGACTTGTAACGTAGCGCGATGCCAATACAAGAAAGAGATCAGACTTCTAACGCAGCATGATGCCAATACAAGGAAAAGATCATACTTGTAACGTAGCATGATACTAATACAAGGAAGGGATCGAACTTGTAACGTAGCATGATTCAAATACAAGGAAGGGATCTGGCTTGTAACGTAGCATGATACCCATACAAGGAAAAGATCGGACTTGTAACGTAGCACGATGCTAATACAAGGAAGAGACCGGTCTTGTAACGTAGCATGATGCCAATACAAGGAAGGGATATGGCTTGTAACGTAGCAAAATGCCAATATAAGGAAAATATCGGACTTGTAACATAGCATGATGCCAATACAAGGAAGAGATCGGACTTGTAACGTAGCATGATGCCAATACAAGGAAGGGGCCTGACTTGTAACATAGCGTGATGCCAATACAAGGAAGGGATCAGACTTCTAACATAGCATGATGCCAATACAAGGAAGGGATCAGACTTGTAACGTACCATGATACCAATACAAGGAAGGGATCGGACTTGTAATGTAGCATGATGCCAATACAAGGAAGGTCTAACACGGACAAGTGTTTGAATCGATACAGACGAGTATCGAAAGAAGATACAAAAGGGTATCAAGAAAGCTTAAACACAAAGGAGTGTTTGAATCAATACGGATGAGTATTGAAAGAAGATACAGACGGGTATCAAAAGGTTAAACACGGACGAGTGTTTGAATTAATACGGACGAGTATTGAAAGAAGATACGGACGAGTATCAAAAGGTTAAACACAGACGAGTGTTTCAATCAATGTGGATGAGTATTGAAAGAAGATACGAATGAGTATCAAAAGGTTAAACACAGATGAGTGTTTGAATCAATACGGACTAGTATTGAAAGAAGATACAGACGAGTATAAAAAGGTTAAACACGGACGAGTGTTTGAATCAATACGAATGAGTATTGAAAGAAGATATGGATGAGTATCAAAAGGTTAAACACGAACGAGTGTTTGGATCAATTCAGACGGGTATTGAGAAAAGATACGGGCTAGTACCAAGGAAAGTTTAAACACAGACGAGTGTTTGGGAGACTGACACAGACAAGTGTTTATGAGCTGACGTAGACGAGTGTTTGGAGACCGACACAGACGAATGCTGGGTTTGGACTTGGTGTATTTATTTTGCTGGAAATTGTGAAAGTGAAGGTCACAAACTGGGGATTTAGGAAGTGGTACCCTCTCGTGGGGATGTATTGTTGTCCTTGAATGATTCGGGTCTTTCGTGTAAGGTACCTGATATGGCTTATGCTTTGTATGCATGTTTGAACTTCTTTTGCCACAAAGATCTATACTGATGGATCGGCTACGCGCTTTTGAGGATGCAATGTTATGTAGTGATAGCTATATGCGATGCCAATAAATATAGACTTCATGGGGATAAGTGAAGGCTCATTGGGAACCGTTGCTAATTACTGGGGATGTCAATACATATCGGCGCTGGAAGTCTGCAGTACCAAAGATCGCTGGGGATACTGCTATGAATTTGCACTGGGGAGCTCACAATACCACAAATTATTAATGACTCTGCTGAAGATTGAATTGTTGACGAAGCGATTCTTCAGGTACGCTGCTGAATTCTGAGTCGTACCATTGGGGAAGAGATAATATGAACATACTTCCATACATCCCGAACCATTAAAAGGATGATAGAGCTGAATATTCCGAAGAATGGGCATTGAACACCATGTGGGTTTCTTCGCATCCATACCCCAATTTTACGCCACACTGGGGAATTGCCTCTTGAATCACTTGGGGATAAGAGATGGGCATGGGAACCTACGAATTCCCCGGTTTAGCTCCACGAATGTCCTAGTTTAGCTCCACTGGGGATGTTCTTGATTAACTCCACTGGGGATGCACTTGTGCGTGCCGAGTCAAATGAAGACTCCGAATTTTCTAAATTCACTTGGGGAATTAGGTTCGAAATTGTCTATAGTAGATGAAGGCAGCTTTGTGCACTGGCTAGGTCAGGGCGACTGTTATGATGCTTTTAGCTTGATTATAGTCGTCTCGTACAACATAATTGGCTTGAGCAACTTTGCAAGTACGAATACAGAATGCCCCTATCTGGAGGGTATCTAAGAAGATCTATGTTGAATAGAAGACCATAACATTTGTGCCACAATACGGTATGAGGTGGCCTGTCCCAATCGCTTGAATCACAAAATAAACTTCTCTTGATTACAACTTTCTTGGAGAGATCTGTAGAATATCGACGTAACTGCCTCGGGTTGAATGGATTCTGAATAGATTTCTCGATGTTATAGCCTTTGATTGATTAAGCTTGAAGATATTTATCAACGTGATAGCCTCTGATTGGCAGCTTCGAGGGAATGCCCCAGATTTGGCTGAGCTTGGAGAGATCGACTCTCGACTTGATTGCCCCAGATTGACGGAATCTGCTAACTTCATCCCTGAAGGGTACTTAGACTGTGAAGTACCAAGATGTTTTTTCTTGACATAATCATTGGTTAACGTATCCCTGGATAAGTTAATTCTCTTGTGACAACTGACTTTTGCTTCAACAGAATATTCAAGCCTCTCTTCTTTGACAAGATTTAGCTCTTTACCGATTG